GGGATATGGGAATGGTGAATCTATCCATGGCTGGATTCATCCATTCCCACTCCAATGACGCTTGAATGTGCGAATTCGTGGCGTCCCTCAACACTCGGTATTAAGACCAAGTTTATTCCTCGTATTCATAAACGACCTCGGTTAATTGCCGATGTCGTACTTTCAACTCTTTGCGGACGATCTCAGGATTTGACGGACAATCAAAAAAGTAACTTACCAAATAGTACTGCAAGGTGACTTGAACGATGAACTATCATTTATCACTGGGAAAAAAGAATGTGCTTGACAATCCCGTAGGATGGTTGTGGTCAAAATTAAAAATAAAGCATCAACGAACAAGTAAACCGTCATCTTAAGCGTCTAACGATTGAAATGCGCTACTGCATAATGATCGTTTAAATCGGAATGTGATGTGCACGTACAAAATGGTATGGAGAGCAGTTATAGTTCAGTATCTCCATGACAGCGCTCGGCCCATAACTTGCTTGAGTTTAACACTGTCCAGTGCAAACCAATGAGCAAACGCCACCACACTCCCTACCAATATCGACTGAAGCACACGTCGTGCAGTGCGTATCTCATGAAAGTGATCTTGGGGTGCTCGTGTAAGACGATCGCGGACGCTCAAATCAGACTGAAAGTGCAGTGAAAAATGCCAGCCAACACGTCGGCCTACTACCGACGGATTTTGGCCGGTTTGATCTAACTTTCTTTTCGCAAATACTCGACGCTTATGTGAGACCACGAGTTTAATACGCCATTCAGAGGTGGCAACCCTGGCAAAACAGTATCTCACTGCACTTGCGAAGCCACAATGGAGGGCGACAAAAAGGTTAAGGGATTGCTTCACCTTTCTTACTGGTTGATATTAAACAGTCAAGAACTCTTATTGAACAATATTGTTTCCTATGAGGTGATCTCATATTTGTGTATCACATCCGCAAGGGCTCTAGCCACCAATGCCGACCCTTTTTGAAACTCAGCCATAACACCTCACTGAGAAGCCACCATTGGAAGTTAGTGACACAGTATAGTCGGTTGGAATGCCGCCGGAACTTTTTTTCATTTCCTGTATCGCAGCCGTAGAGCCGACCTCCACGTTTTGTCACATCTGCTCCTACGGTGTCCGAATTCAAAATTCGACTTATGATAAATCACATCATCAATATTACATGATTTACCCAAATTACTGCGGCCTGCTACAATGCAAGCAAACAATGGATAGACGGGAACTTTGTGGTAAGTACCACGCTACGCGATTTTTTATACATCCATTTTTGATCTCACGCTTCACTTACGGAACACTGGAGAGCGTTTGCTTTAATATCCGGAGTAAATCCATTGTTTCATTGTTCCATTGAGTGCATCCATTTGCAAATATGATTTGCTCTGGCGATTCTTAAATACTAAACCAAAATAGTACAGCACGTAGTTGCCTCGGAGACTTTATCTATACCCTTAGACACGAGCTACCAACGCGGCATGTTCTCACCCCAGTGGTTATAACGAACTTTTTAGGACGCCTTGTCTGACAACTTGGTGATTGCATTTTGTTTTAACGCGCTCCTGTAGCTCAGGCGCCAGGTAGCTAATAACCTTTCCATAGTTGAACTGGTCCGAGGTCTTAATATTCTAGAGAAGTGAAGTGAGTCCATCCTTATCCCAGAATAGGTGCACCACTTTGTGCTTCATGCACTTTGGTTTAGGTTAACCGCAATTATATTTGCAAGCATTTGAGCAGGACAGCGAGAAGTTACTTTGTTGTTGTGTACTACGGCGATCTAAGTGGTTTGCTTTTTTGTCCTCGTTTTGACACTACATCCATTCAGGTCTGCGGCGGGAGTTTTTGAGTGCGTAGCTGTTCAAAATTCGGATTAGCTCATGTTTGCTTGGATCTGATTAAATGGAAACGATAATCATACGGTAGAAAAGAAACATTCCTAAATTAAGCTCCCAGATAGGTTAAAAACAGACTGGAATGGCATAACGCTTATTGTGAAAAGTAGTTATTTGCTAGCTAGTGCCGTATATTTTCCGAGGCAGTAAGATGTCAGTTTATATCTAGTCTGCTTAATTAACCGCCGATTACCAACAATACGTTTGCTAGGGATAATTCATTGAGCACAGCTGCTAATATCGAGCTCAGACATACAGTTAGTGAGGATCACTAAGCTTGGTGGACGAAGGGTGTCATCGAGATAGAACAAGCTGACCCTCCGGAAATTTCTGTAAACATGTCTCTCTCATTAGATCCACAGGTAATAAGAGACTAACCGTAAGCAACTCATTAACAAAAGCAGTGGTGAGCCAAATCATAAGCACCAGCGCCCCAGCATGTACGTTAGGTAGGGAAATTCGGAGGATCACACAGCTAGCCACCAATGCGCTCGGGTTTCCATACTCGCATCTACCATACTCCACGGCGTGTAAACATCTAGGTGCTATCTGTAACTGCGGAAAGTTGCGAGCTTCATCATCGGTTGCATCATAACTATCTGCACCTAAACGAAATGCCTCCGAATCATTCCAAGAATGGAGGACTCCCTTTCTTCTGTGAAGTAACTGCCTCCTTTAGGAAATTCGTACCCTTCCTTCTGCCCGGAATGTAACTTCTACCGCGCCTGTCTGCAAAATGGCAACTAGATAAATTGTGTCAAGTAGCGAGAGATTAGTCTCCTTTGGTTTGCATCCAACTTGCTCGCTTATGTGTCTTTAAAGTTGTGCAGCTAATTATGTGAACAATGCATACGTAAACAGAAAACGGGGTTGCGCCCAGGTCAGAGCATGATTGCTCATCTCTTTATCATCAACTAGATAATATAGCACAACTGTGCTTTCAGTCGGACTGCCAGCGTATGCTTCTTGGACATATAAATGGATGGTGCGGCTTTGAAATCAGCTGTGCTTTATCAATGAACATTGTTTTTACAATATAGCTATGGATACATTAGTTTTCTCAGAATATTTTAACGTTGGTACTGGTCAAGCTATTTCCAAGGTCACCGCTAGTGTCCTTCGTCTAATATTTGAGAAAAGTTCAACATATTGTGCACGTGAAGATGGACGGCCCCAATTGAAAACCTAACTTGCAACACTGGTTTTAAATTCTTTTGTCCGAAACTGTTTAATTGCTGCTCTTTTACACCGATCGTTTATTCAGTGATACTTCTACACAATGTCCTTTTATCCGTTCCTACAAATTTAGTTCTGATAATGTAATTTTAGCTCATCCGTTGTCGATATTGTAAAGTGCTGAAAATGTACCCATCTGGATACATAAAGCTTATTTTGACTTGCCTTGGCTTGACTCTGGACTCAGTTACATAGGCGCTCTCCAGAGTTGCTTAACGAGAAGGCGAATACCTGATACGTTTGTCCACATCCTCCAAACATTTTATTCCTTGACCTTGGCTGGCGCGCAGGTATAAGGTGGGCATTCACGATCCTTTAATATCATCAGCGGTGTGAGACAGGATTGTCGCACGTCCTTCTTCTTGTCCAATTTCGCTACTAGTGACACATTGCAGCATGCTTTTGAAGGCTGTATACCCAGATGCGTCGAGTTGCTCTTGAGTGATCCGCTTCATGACTTGGTGTATGCTGACACCATTGCTGTAATCGATGAATCCTCGCAGTCTTCGCAGGACCTACTACGCGGGTCGCATATGAATGTCTCACATTTCCGAATGACATTAGCCCCTCTCAAATTACAAGGTTTTCCTTTAGAACAAGTAAGAAGATGCTCATCCCGTTAGCTTTTCAGGCCCTTCTTCGGAAATAGTGGGAAAGTTTGTTTGCCTAGGGTGCCGCATTAATACAAACAGATTAGCGGATAAGATCGACAGTAGTCTTCGCCGAACTGCGACAACTCGGCCCCCAGTTGACAACAACATTTCACTAAAATGCTCACTCCGGCAGATTACTACCTTACTGGCGAATGGGAGTTGCGTGGCTTGTTAGGCATTATAGCGAAATCATGAGCGACGAATATTTCCATCACCGTTATCTCCAACCCTCCGAATTCGTGCTCAAGACGGATCAAGTGTAACTGGTAATTCCTTCCAAGTAAGCTTGTAGGGCAACTAACCATCAACCTCTATGAAATCTTTTACACTAAGTGGAGAGTCCGGCAGGTTGCTGAAATTATGAAGAGCCAATTGTCAGCACCGAAAAGTCGTGGGAACTCTGAAAATGGCTCAATTACACTTTCTTTCTTCGAGCTGGACCTTTCTATGCTTTTACACACCTCTATATGCGCTCCCTGTGATCTCCCTTGCGGTAGCTGCTGGGTACCATGGGTCAAGTGACAACACTCAAGGCGTTTGGTAGTCCAAACACTACGCGTTCTTGAGTCACGATGCGTAAATCATTCGTCCGAATTCACGTAAACTTCTGTTATTCCGCATCCAGCTTTCCTTCCGTGTCTCTGTTGCATGACAGCTTTAACATGTTCGGCTTGCTGAAGCGGACCTAGTCTAAGCTATCGTATGCATATATGTTATTAGTAATTGGATAGTAGCCTAGTCCACTAGCAGCTTTGACTAAAAATCGAGCTCTGCGTATACGAGTTCGCATCAAACATCCGACGTGATTTGTCACTTACTTGTAGCGCATTCAGAACGACGTTGTTCAATTTCTACCTACTGACATTTTAGATGGCGAATTCACAGGAAATTGCAACGTATCGTGACTCAATGGAGCACGGAAGTGCACAAGATAACACGTGACGTTATTCTGCAGAAGTACCAATTGCTCGGTCTTCCTTGTTCCTTTATGCTACTCAGTGAGGCACCGCTATTGTCGTCACCTGTGAGATGATTAATTCACAGACATAAGCAGTTCGGCTCTTTATAAACAAACCGTCATGATCCGTTCCGCTGACTAGCAATGCTAGTGTCCTACCATGAGTGACGTATGCAGTTCTTCACCTGCTGAGGAAACACATGGGCATCTGCTAATAGTGTAATCAGGACACACCTTTCGGTATGAGATAGACTCACCAGGGGCAATTCCACCAGCATTAGGCAACATTTGGAAAACTGGCGCTCCGCTGGCATTTGTCGTACCACTGGACAATGTGCAGGTCGGGTGTAAGCTAAAATTCATGGGAGCCTCGGTTGGGTTTTTGAGAATAAGCTGTCGCTCTGCCCAATCACCTAGCAAAATTGAACCGAATCCAAGCATGTGTTGAAGGGTAGTTGAAGAACTCAAATCTGGTGGTCCAGATAACTCCACACTATAAAAATAGAAGGGAAAGTATTGAGGTCAGCGACCGGTACACAAACTACTAATGGCTGTTTACTAGCGAATGCATAATGTTCAGATACCTATATCGGATATTACCAGTCGAGAGGAACTATTTGTATCACGGTTGTCGATAATCGCAAGCCTACATATGGAGCTTTAGAGACAATACTCCAACATAAACATACGTATAGCTAAAGTTGCACTCAGTCCCCACTATTCCGAACTTCAGTAGCGTTTGTCAAAGAGCAAGCGACAGAGGACAAGGTTGGTTAATCGGATTAACATGTAGAACTAAAGAACTGAAGTCCCCCAAGCACACCAGATGTAGTACATCAGAGGCCAGTACAAGATGCTAGGTGAAAGATGATGACACTTTCAGATTTTAAATCGATTTAGATTGCAACTAGAATTTGCAGTTCTAGTGAGACTTGAAGGGACGCTTCGAATCACAGGTTCGATAGGCAGCAGTGAAATGTTATATCACAGAAGAAGAGTTGCTGCGAAGAGAGCTCTTTTCGATAATCCTCCTCAGGCATTTACAGTTATGAGAAAACTTAATACAACACGATAAGCTATTTAAAACTGCAATAGTGAATGGTTAGGTCACAGTTTAACGGTAGGGCAATGAGCTAAGCGATAGAGCAGTCAATGCATTCAGGCGATAAACCTCACACGCTTTCACACCCCAAACACTGAAAGACAAACATAACAAGAAAGAGATGGTTGGTTTGGCGTCAAAGTTCACAGTAAATCCTGGGCAATGGTAGGTACGGGCAGAGTCAATCGTTTCGGCCAAGGCAGCGTGAGCGTTTGTACAAGCGTCCTCTGTTTTCATAACTCCGGTTGCGGCAGCGTGATAGCCATTGCTTAGGTGGTAGCCAGCAGGGGCTTCCTGAGTCCATTTGAGTTGCGTTTGGACACAGCGTAACGAACTTTGAAAGCGTCATCGGTCCGAAAGTGATGCCCCGTACTAATCAGGTGCTCAAGGACGGAGCTATAGGGATTCTTAACTGTACCGTGCCGTAAAGAGGCGGGACATTGTTCCGCTCTCCAATTAGACAGACGGCTGGTCATGTGTCCGAGGTACCTGGCAGCACAGGTGCAGCTGAACCGATATACAACGAAAGCTTCGGAATGAGCCGGGTGTCTGTCTTTGAGGCTTTTATTGATAAACGGAACAGCATCAGCAAGAATATGGACTCTTGCAACTGGATATGTTTGGTTCACAGCGACAGAATCTTTTGGTTGGTAACTCCTAGATAATATCTCCTTTAATGGGAACCGAAATGAAGACACGCTTTTTCTTTACCGCGGGTGTTTCTTTTGCTTGATAAAAGCAGCAGAACGTTTGTGGATAAAATCTCGGGATAACGGTAGTTTTATAAAGTTGTGAAAATGAAATTCTCTTCAGCATCTAATGTTTCTGGGCTCCAGATTTTCGCGGCACGATAGTAAACACGGCACACAAGATTTCACTTGTATTTCATGGGCACAAAACTAAGGAAATGCGTATACTGGCCCACCCGCGTAAAATTGCGGAATACTCTGCTCTCAAGCAATCCTTCAGCTCGGCACCCCAGCAACCCATCCAAAAATGAGGTTTCGCCATCGTTCTCGATTTCACAAGTGATCTGTTCGTAGTAACTCCTCTTCTTCTAATGTATGGATGGGCATAATATACCAATTTTGGCACTGAAGTTTGACACATTCAGAGCCAGATTACATGCTGCGCCATCGGTCAAACCGCAAGAAACGTCACAAGAAGCCATTTGCTGAATTTGCCGCACGCAACATTTAGGCATTGCTTTATCTCTGTGGGTAGAGCCCAGTAACCATGTTAGGGACGCTGGGGATTTTTGCTTTACCGTGTTGGATTCTACTTTTACTTGGAAATACTGTGGTATACGTGTTTTCTCCGTGTGAATTTTGCACCATACGTGGCTTTTGGTGCATTTTTCCATATGTGCGAATTAGGTGGATATTCTCCGGCCAGTGTCGGAGATCTCAATGATTGGCCCAACTGCCGTCTGCGTCCGCCATCCTGGATTTGTTCTACAGCAATCGGACAGGTATCTGCAAGACCACCAGACTGACCGACGGCGTTTGGATTCAGCATACCAGTGCAGACTTCGCAGCGAACGGCTTCCAGTGATCTGACAGTCATAATGACACTTACTGGTTGCCTACGGAAAGCTAAGCCCAAAGCTTCCGAAATAAACAGTTGTGGCGTGGACAACAGTGTAAAACTAGTGCGACTTAGAATAAAATACAGAAAAGGCCGAAAATACTTCCATTTTCCATGTGTTCGCCTTAGTCTCAGCCAGATAAAAAAGCTTAATAGTACGACTGATTCTCTCCGGTTCTGCATCGAGTGTACGTCTCTTCCACTTGTCAGATGTACAACTACGTTGGCGCAGAAGTACCATACGCTGACAAAGATTGTAGAGTAGGCAGCAGCTGTGAAAGCTGTCCCATATGAACCAGACAAATCAGTGTCCCGAACTCGATGCTCAACATAAAGATCCAATTCAGCACAGTGTAAGAATATGCATCCAGAGAGATCCATCCCGACACTAGCGTCTGCTAATAAAGGTGCGTTTGCTAAACATTCCTCAACAGAATTACCTGCCACACTAAACGCTGTTAGAGGGCGGACAACCTACGCATCCGTCGTTGCTACCCATATGACTGAGGCATCTCCCATTGCAACCCCGCCGCTGCCGAAAGAGTTACTACTGCCAAAAGCACCACGGGACTCAAGGCCCCATCATTTGTTTAACCGAAGAAAGCAGCCACTTTTCCCTCCAAAAAGGAGAAGATTAAATACTACCATAATTCTCTAACTGTTATATGCTCTAACGTGACTGGATCCGGGGCGAACTCCATAAAAGATAAGATACTAGAGGACAAAAAACTGTGGGACTCCCTACGTCAAGCTAAAGCAGTCAGTATGATGCGTCTCCTCCGTCACTCAAACTCTGTACACTACGGTGAACCGCGGTTACTCCAGGTAACATTTTAGTCATATAATGATGCAGAGGCAGTTCTCTTGTCAACCACTCTCCTACATACCAACACATGCACTGTTCGAAGTTTTCCAGATGTTCCTTGGAGCAAAGGCCAGAAAGGCAAACAATTCCGCAAGAGCACCGTAAACAACAAGACGCAAAATCTATCCATGTTCACGGTGTCCCCGAGCTCTAGGCATTAAGCGCGCTAGTGGTCAAAGCACATGATGAGATGAATGGCTTTTTATTCGTGGAGTAATCTCACTCGAAAATGTTATCATTAATTCGACATCAAGGTTACCGCTATAACCTAACTACAAATGGTGTGGTCCCCGAGTGATGAAAGTAGCATTGCCATCCGAACTGATGGCAGATGTGATCAAAATGTGGCACAAAAAGCGTAAAGTGCTGCCATCCATAATACGTATAAAGGCAATAAGCACCGGGCCACAGATAGACAATGTAACGCTGAGCAAGCAACTTACCAATACAATTCTGTCAGCGTGTAGCTCAGAACGGAAACAACGCCAAAACACACCGACAGCTGAAGGAAGACAGGATGGTCACACTCTTGTTGGCGCTGAGAGCTCTGTAGAGCAAGCTGAATTGGCCCTAGGGCCTGCGTCATCGGTCCTACAAAAAGTGACCGGCAGCCGACGCGGCAAGGCTCGGCATACACCCTCACCGAAAAGCAGCATTCACAAACAGGCTCCTAACAACCGATGCCCTCACCTGCTTGTATAACAATGCACAAGGTGTTCAGAGCAAGCTAACAAAACTTCGTCTTCGTCAGGTCTCCAAGCCTTGGGACCTAGTTAGGGTCACCGAAACATGGCTGAACACGGAGATCACCGATGCTGAAATTGCTCTACCCGGTATGACTTCCATTCGAAACGATCGACCTAGCAGAGGAGGTGCAGGGTTCTTGTATTATCGATTGGACCTGCATGTTGATGTCATTGACGACCCAGAGATGATGGTCGTCGATTCTATTTGATGTCGTATGCACCTATGTGGTGATGTGTGTTTACTAGCAATAGTTTACCGCCTTCCAATGTTCACCTTGAAGATAGATAAATGCCTAGCTTTTGTGATGGAGCGACTGTACAGTCACGTCCTTCTGATGGGGGACTTCAACCTACACGCAATCGAAGTTCCAGCATCGCACAGCGAACAATTCAACACGGATTTGCAAGATGTGCTCGCTGATATATCTGTACAACCATGTCACCTCTTTCACGCGATTCCGAACGGGTGACACACACACTGTGTTGGCCTTTGTGCTCTCCGACGAGGAAATAATGGTCGTCACCGTGACCATAGATGCGCCACTTGGTCGTAGCGATCACTCGATGTTGCTCTTTCGTTACATTTGTTACTCGGAGTACCTCAGTGAGAACAACGTGGAAACCTATGTCGTTACACATTACGATACACTGTCCAACTTCGTGGAAGAAACCGACTGGTCCTTCCTGGTCGAGAAGCCGCCTGATGTCGCCAGGATGTTGTTCGTCATTCAATTCACTGAGCTACTGGCAAATGCGTTAGAAAGCAAGGTAGTTCGCGCGAAGCAAACGAATTCGTTCCTGAGGAGCCGTACTAAAAAATGCATGACCTTAAGGCATTCAGCCTGGCAAGCTTCCAAAGTCTGTCCAATTAACCTGACCTGAGGTGCTTAGACAACTCAAAAAAACCACTGCGTCAAGTTGATCCGTAAAGACAAACTCCAGCAACAACAGAAATTAGCGGCAAAATTCAGTAAAAAGCGCAAGTTGCTGTATAGACACGTCAACAAACTCCGCAGAGTGCAGCGCAGGATCCCGGTATTACGTGCAATAGATGGTCTTGTGCAAACCGCACAAGCTGCAGCCAACGTGCTTCGCTAACACTTCATCCATACTTTTCGGATTGCATCATCATTTCATGCGCTTTTGACACAGCTTCCATCACCACCAGGGTTAAGCCACATATAGTCCACCGC